TTAAGTATCTCTGGTACGTATGGGCTTAGAATCATCAAACTTTGTGAGTTGATGCATCTTGGGTTTTCGGAGAGTGACGACCAAAAAGTAGGTCATGGTGACCTACTTTTGATATTTTGTGGCTTTAATTAAGTATCTCTGGTACTTGTTGACCTAAATTCATCAAACTTTGTCAGTTGATGCATCTTGGGTTTTCGGAGATTGTCGACCAAAAAGTGGGCCACAGTGAACTACTTTTGACATTTTATGGCTATTTTTAAGTATCTCAGGCACTTATTGGCTAAGAATCATCAAACTTTGTCAGTTGAGGCATCTTGGGTTTTCGGAGATTGTCGACCAAAAAGTAGGTCACAGTGACCTACTTTTAAATATATCATAGGTACGTATTAGGGAGAATCATCAAACTTTGTCAGTTTAGGCACCTTGGGTTTTCGGAGAACGTCGACCAAAAATGGTCATGGTTACCTACTTTTGATATTTTATGGCTATATTTCATTATATCTGGTACTTATTGGCTCGGAATCATCAAACTTTGTCAGTTGAGGCATCTTACGGTTTCATTGAATGTTCAACAAGAAGTAGGTCACGGCGACCTACTTTTGAATATCTCAGGTACTCATTGGCTTAGAATCATCAAATTTTGTCAGTTTAGGCATCTTGGGTTTTTGGATAACGTCGACCAAAATGTAGGTCACCGTGACCTACTTTTGACATTTGATGGCTCTATTTAATTATCTCTGGGTACTAATTGGCTTAGAATCATCAAACTTTGTGAGTTGATACATCTTGGGTTTTCAGAGAATGTTGACCAAAAAGTTGGTCATGGTGACCTACTTTTGAATATCTCAAGTACTTATTTAATTAGAATCATCAGTCTTTGAGAATCATCAGTCTTTGTCAATTAATGTATCTTGAGTCCTCAGAAAATTTCAATCAATAGGTAGGTCACTGTGACCTACTTATGGTATTTTATAATTATATTATAATATCTTCAGTCTTAACTGGTTAAATACTATCAAACTTTGTATGTTGATGCATTTTGGGTCTTATGATACTAAAAGAGTAAGAGGCTTCTAATAGAAGTGATAGATTGTACAATTTATCAGAAGAGCGATTCAAGGCCATTGGGCCTCTTGTTATCAAGTACATCTTATGGTAAATTTTGTTTTGATGATTTTAAGCAATAGATTGAAGTTCTATTATCTGTTTGAATATAAAACAAACGTGTATAAAGTTCTACAATTACTGATATTTTATAACAATTGTTAAGATATTCTTACACGCTGTCCTTTTCACTTATTTTTCAAAATATATAATGACCTTTGAGTACTAAGCTTTTTTTTACCGTCAAACGTTTCTTGAAAAAAGTGTAAAGTACCCCCAGTGATGTCTGTTGAATTTGCTTTGTGTCTTAAAGTCAATCAATCAATCATTATTAAATATTATTTGTTTAAATTTTGCAAAGAGTACATCGGTTGTTACAATTTTTTTTGGCAAGAACGGTACCCATTTTTGATACCCATTATATATTTTTTTTATCATCAAAATTCAACTGCTCATTTATCTATAAAACAGACATTGGTTGCTGCAAATGTCACATATTTCAGTGAATATTTCTTTGAGATTCTTAACAAGTTCAACAGCAGCTTTAATGAAGCTTTTATTTTCACTCTAGTGTACTTCTTCTTTTCATTCATTTTAGGGATGGCAATTTGTGACCGGTTAATCGATTAATCGGTCGGAACGTTGCTAATCGGTTAGAAAATCCGTAATCGGTTAGTCAGAAAAAATAAAATATATGTAAATTTGAGCGCAGTTTCCTTAAAATTCCTTCTGTTTTTAATAAAGGAAAGCGCTGCATAGAAGTTTATTTAAGTGTTTTTACACATCTTATAATTCAAAATATTTGGAGGTAATTATAGCTCTCCAGACTGAGATCGAAAGGGGTAATTGGTCACTTCATAAAGTGTTAATTACTGTTTTTAAAAAATCAAGCCGTTACCCAGATAGTCCTGTGGTTTTATTAAAGATACTAAAAACATCACCGTTAAGCACTTTTAATTAAAGTATGTCTATATTTTGCCGTTATCTATTAAATTATATTACTGTAAAGAATGTTGTAAATTTTAAATAAAGTTAGAGTTCAGACATAGTTATATTTATGGTGACAATGCAGAATTAACTTCTTCAACATCTGCGTTGGAAAATTATCCATGTCTTATTTCTCAAGCAAGATTCATGATTTTCTTAATTTTTTCTTGTCTATTAAAATCAAAATAAAATATACTCTTATGTACATAATATCCCCCGATCAAAATAATAAACAGAATGTAACTTCTAATGTCTTTTAAGCCATCTTGTGTGTATGAAAAGAAAATGTCAAAATGTATATCTTGATACGACTAACCGGTTAATCGGTCGGAACGTTTTGCGGTTAACCGATTAGCAATTCCGCAATCGATTGCCATCCCTAATTCATTTATAATGCAGTGTCTCAAATAGCCCTTGTTTTCTAGCTTCTCACAATGAAACTATGTGATGAAAAGTGGTCACATGAACTGTTATAAATTCATTAAAGATTAAATAATGAGAGAAAGTCAAGCTCATAATGTCATATGATATCGGTATTGGTATTATATGTCATACAGTTCATGACATTATTTATTGAACAGCCCTCGTATAAAATCTTTCAAAAATCTTCTCAAGAACCGTAGGGACAGGAAAGTTGAAAGTCCTATTGAGTCTTCCTCAAATAGTGTGCATTCAAGTTTGTTCAAATCATAACCCCCATGGCAGGGGTGGGGCCAAAATGCCGATCAAAGTTTGACATAGAAATATAGAGAAAAAAATCTTTAAAATCTTCTTCTCAAGAACCATTTGGACAGGAAAGATGAAACTCATGTGGAATCATCCTCATGTAGTGTACATTTCATTTCATTCAAATCATGACCCCCGGGGGTAGGATGGGGCCACAATGGCAGATCAAAGTTTTACATAGGAATATATAGAGAACTCTCTCTATAAGTTAAATGCAGAATTGATATGGAGACATTTTCAAGTAGTGTTAGAATTCAAGCCCCCACCCCACCCAAGCCCACCATCTCAGTAAACTTTTCAATTCTGATCTGATTTGTGCATTCTCCTAGTTGATGTGCTCAGGTGAGCGATGTTGCCCATGGGCCTCTTGTATAATAAAGTTTATGTATTTTCCAGTTTGTTCAAATCATGACACCAAGGGTGGGGAAACAGGGGATCCAACTTTTTTAAGGGGATCATTCATAGAAATATATAGGGAAGAAAAGATTTTGTCTTCTGAAGACAGTCATATTTAAAAGCAGATGCTAGTAAAATACATTCAATTTTGTTCAAATCATGACCCTCGGAATTAGGATTGAGCCACAATGAGCACTTACTAGGATTTACATGAAAATACAAGGAGATATAAATTTAAAATACAGTTACTAGTATTCTTTTCAAGGAAACGAGGAAACCTGATTTGTCATATTTATTTGGAATCTTTCTTCGTTGTAAAGGTATGCTATAAATAAAAGTTTTAGATGAAATATTAAGGAAAAAGAACCCTTTGGACCTCTTTCCATATGATGGCTTTAATAATTAAATTGTTCATAGTAGCAGGTCAATATTCTAGAATTTAATGAAGAAGATTTTTTCATGAGAATAAAATGACATTTTGAAAAAAAAATGTAGTAAAGAACAGGCAAATCAATAGATTCACTTGAGTGTTCTGGGCTTTGGCCTCATGTTATATTTATACCCCCCGCAAACGAAGTTTGGGGGGTATATAGGAATCACCTTGTCCGTCTGTCTGTCTGTCCGTCTACTTGTCTGTCTGTCCATCTGTCTGTCCGTCCGTCTGTCTGTGCAATCGTGTCCGGTCCATTATCTTTCTTACAGAGGTCCATTAGAATCTACTACTCCACACTAAGATTGCACATGACCTAAGGGTGTGTATTGACCTTGACCCAAGGTCATTTGGGGAAGTTCAATTGGCAGAAAAATTTGACAATTCGTGTCCGGTCCATATCTTTATTATGGATAAACTTAGGTTTTCATTTCACACAAAGATTGTCCATGACCCAAGGGTGTGTATTGACCTTGACCCAAGGTCATTTGGGGAAGTTCAAGGTCACTGGAAGTTTGAGAAAGTCTCAGGTAGAAAAAATTCACAATTCGTGTCCGGTCCATATCTTTCTTATGGATAAACTTAGTAGGTTCTCATTTCACACAAAGATTGCACTTGAACGAAGGGTGTGTCATGACCTTGACCCAAGGTCATTTGGAGAAGTTTAAGGTCACTGGTAGAAAAATTTCATTATTCGTGTCCGGTCCATATCTTTCTTACGGATAATCTTGGTTAGACTAAGGTTCTCATTTCACTCAAAGATTGCCCATGACCTAAGGGTGTGTCATGACCTTAATTCAAGGTCATTTGAGGAAGTTTATGGTCACTGGAATAAACATTTCATTATTCATGTTCGATACATATCTTTATTATGGAAGAACTTACTTCTGAAAAACCCAGCAGGGGGTATTTTGTCCCGTTTGGACAGTTCTAGTTTAATATATGTTTTGACCCCTCCATTCAAGCCCCAGTGAGGCAGGTTCCATAAAATCCACAATTTCAGTTCCCCTTCACCCATAGATGCCTTGTATAAAAATGGGTTGAAATTGGTTAAGTAGTTGAGAAAAAAAGCTGAAAATGTTCAAAGGTTAATATACAATGCAGGACAGATGACACATGACGACAGATGATAATTGATAGCAATAGGTCACCTGAGTTTGCTCAGGTGACCTAAAATATTGTTAAAAACGTGAATGCTGTTAGAATCATTGGAGTTTTCTGGCTCTTGGGCTTCGTATTACGTTTTAATGTATGACTTTATTTACTTTTTCAGGAGATAGAGAAGTATTTTGAAGAGTTCTGGGAGGCCGTGCCAGCTGAGGACAGGAATTGGTTGAAGGAATCTCTTAAAGAACGTACATATACAGTGGGTCTAGTTAAACTAAATGATAATACCAAAAGACACCTGGATTCCATGACAAAGTCCATAGTTGAACTATTTGCAAATGAGAACAATACAAAAATTGAGTTGCCTTCTTCATGGGCTTTAATGGAGCAGTTATTATATGAAGGAACCTGGAAAGTTTTGCCCCTTAGTGAAATTTGGAAGCTTAATGCATCCCTTCCCCATGAATACCAAATTAAAAGTGATGAGGAAATGTCTATGTTCTTAAAATGTTTCCATGACAATGGCCTTCTTTTATACTATAATGAAGAGAAATTGAGGGAACATGCAGTACATGACATTCAGTGGTTTGCTAAAGCTTTCAGCAAGATTATTGCTGACAAAAACCATATTAATGAAGACTGCAAAACGATATTGATAACAGAATGGAAATCCTTTAACAAAACAGGGGAACTTAAAGATAAAGTGATAGATGCTCTATGGAAAGATGAACCCTCATATCTGGAACACAAAAGTGAAATAATGTCGTACATGGAGAAGCTTCAAATGCTGGTACCTTTGGACACTTTTGAGGCTGTATCGGAAAGCGACATGTCATGGTATGTCCCATGTATGAATAAAAAGCAGTTTAAGTCCGACTTTTGCGAGGGAAGGTGGGAATGCTCCTCCATTTTATGCTTTCGGTTCACTTCTTTTGCCATGTTTGTGTTCTACAGACTGGTAGCATATTGTATGAGTTCTCTAAAATGGAGTGTTTCAAAAGACAAAGACAATGAAGGAAGTCCTTGTCTTTATCAAACGGCAGCAGTGTTTGATCACAATGAACACACGGTCGTTCTTGGCATATGCAATGACGATATACAGTTGCAAGTATTGAGAATCACGCCATTGTCTATAAACAAACACGTATCAAATGAAATTGGAGAATCCATTGAAAAAGCCATAGAAAAACTGACAGAAACATTCATTGGCACAAAAATATTCCACAAAGGATTGAAATGTCAAAAAATTATTTGTGATGAGAAAGATTTATCTTTCACTCTAGCAAGTGAGCTCTCCAATATCAAAACCGAAAAAGAAATACAGTGCAAGTGTCATATTCTGGAGAAACATGTGATAAATGTTCAAAGGACTCTGAGATACTGGGAAAAGGTAATTTTTACTCATATTAATGCCCATGACACACTTAAACTGAAGGGGTATGGAAGAATCATCTTGTCTTTCTATCTAGTGTTTGTCATACGTTTTCGTGAATGTTGCAAGATACCCTCTGAATTAACTGCAGAACTGTAGACCGATAAAAATTCGGATAGATAAAATACACAGAGTGAAGAATTGTTAATATCTTCATTATTTTGTTGCTCACCTCGCGAATAAACTCTTGTATTTTTAGTTCTCCTCTTTAAGAATGTTATCGTGTATTCAGGATACTTTATTTACCATATTATTGTAAGTCAGTTATTTATATACTGCATGAATTGAGGACAGATTTCCCTTTTATTTTGGTTATTTTCCAATCATGACATAGAGCACACAGCAGGTGTGACCCGTCGGCAGGGGATGCTCACTCCTCCATGGCACCCTATCCCACTTCTGATGTTTGGAGATCCGTGTTTGCTCTGCTCCTATATTTATTGTTTTCTGAACTTTTGTAATTAAATACTGTTTGTTATAGTGTTATCTGGATATCCTTCATGCCAAAAGGGGTATCTTCCAGTATAATAAAGTGCCCTTAAGCGAGATATTTTAGCGGGTGGTAATGATGGCTTACTTTGGCATTTTGATGATGGCTTGCTAAAATTTTAGATTTTAAGTAGTCAGTAATCTTTTTACCGTTCATCTGGGGCTGAAACCCTGTGTAAGCTAAAATATATGGTTTCTTATGTTTCTGCATAGTTGATTTCTTCCCATTTATAAATGATAATTTTGTTTTAGAAAAAAGTTATCTTGTCCGACATTAGGTGTCCTCTCACAACAAATTATCAGTAATCATTTTCAAATATAAGAAATTAAATGTACAACTATGCTCTTTCATCATATAATTAGAATACTAAACAAGATGAGTGTGGTTAATTATACCAAAGTTTCAATAAGACAGAAAAATTCTTGTACATGAAAAGCATAATAAGATTTTGAGAATATGATAACAAAAATAATATTTTTATCAAACAGGAACACCAAGAAGAGAATATAATTGTTGAAGAATCCGGTCAAAGTATGTATCAGCATTGATGACTTTCACCATTTTATTTTTCATGATTTTGATATTTTTGGGAAAGGGAACATTTAACTGAAATATGGATATCTCATATATTTTAAATAAGGAATATTATTTGTGGAATATTTATACCCCACGCAACTAGTTGCGGGAGGTATAATGTTTTTGACCCGTCCGTCAGTCAGTCAGTCAGTCAGTCAGTCAGTCCGTCAGTCAGTCAGTCCTCTTTTTTTGTCAGCGCAACTCCTCATAAACCGCTGCACAGAAGTTCGTCAAACTTTGCAGATATTTAGGACACAATGTGTAGATGTGCATATTAACAGGGAATTCCGATTCCATTATTTTTTCCGGGAATTTCTGCACTTTTTAACTTAGGCATTTGGCCATACCTTGAATATAGAGATGAACAGTTTGTCAGCGCAACTCCTCATAAACCGCTGCACAGAATTTCGTCAAACTTTGCAGATATTTAGGACACAATGTGTATATGTGCATATTACCAGGAAATTCCGATTCCATTATTTTTTCCGGGAATTTCCGCTCTTTTTAACTTAGCCATTTGGCCATACCTTGAATATAGAGATGAACAGTTTGTCAGCGCAACTCCTCATAAACCGCTGCACAGAATTTCGTCAAACTTTGCAGATATTTAGGACACAATGTGTATATAGATGTGCATATTACCAGGGAATTCCGATTCCATTATTTTTTCCGGGAATTTCTGCACTTTTTAACTTAGGCATTTGGCCATACCTTGAATATAGAGATGAACAGTTTGTCAGCGCAACTCCTCATAAACCGCTGCACAGAATTTTGTCAAACTTTGCAGATATTTAGGACACAATGTGTAGATGTGCATATTACCAGGAAATTCCGATTCCATTATTTTTTCCGGGAATTTCCGCACTTTTTAACTTAGGCATTTGGCCATACCTTGAATATAGAGATGAACAGTTTGTCAGCACCACTCCTCTTAAACTGTTGTACATAGTTTATTTTATCCCAAAGAGTTTTGCCTATTATTCAAGAAAATTTCTCCCCCCCCAACCACTTCAAATTAATGTTTGGATTTGTATAATGCCAAGAAATTTTGATTCCATCATTTATCTAGAAACTTCATTCCACATTTAAATGTCCTTATATGTAAGACATTTTGATGTGAAGATTTTGTTGCAATTATTGCCCTTTTTGATCTATACTATGTATTTAAAGTGCACTGTGCCTTTCATTATGTGCTTCACCGTCAAGTTTTGGGGGAGCGTGGGGTATGTGAGCTAGCTCACTTTTTCTTTCATTTATAATATCTTTTATTTTTAGCAACTGATTTGATTTTGAATGCGATGTCCAGAAAACTTCATGGGATTCCATCCACCTTCATGCTTGCTCAGATTTTTGAAGTCCATATAAAAGAAACTTCCAATGTTGAAGAGGATAGATTTAGAATTCTCTATAAATGGAAATGCAAAAATTCAGCCCTGGATCACCTAAGAGAGTTGGAGAGAATTTTGCGTGACGCTGGAGACGGTGAAGCAGCCGATTATATTGGGACTTTTCAAGTGTCAGACTTTGAATGTAGTGATATCTCCATACCTGCACAGCCTGTTTCAGAGGCTGACTTCGATATATTAAAGGGAAACCTTTCAAAGGATTACACTCATTTGGTGCGATTTTTAGGTCTGCCGCATGTATGTATAGAACAGCTCGAGGAAGACATGACATTTGTTAAAGAAAGGATACATAAATCATTCATGATATTGAAAGAAAGACGTCCAAATTTAAGCCGTAAGGACATATGTAGAGGTTTGAAGTTCATAGAACGAAGCGATATCATTGATTTGCTGAATAAGCATTGGGAATTTAAATAGGACGCAAAAGATATGGAATCGCATATATATAAAATTCGGTATATTACATTTTGTAAGGACCCATTGCATACCTGTGTAGAGCATTCATAGAGATAATTACTGATGATTAGTTATATCATATACATGTATATAAACATAAACTAGGCGGGACACACAGTCCGTATGCCAGACCATCGACTCCCCAAGAAACTTAACTTAGGTGAACTACTTGAAGGAAAGCTTGCCCCGTGGTGCCCCCCAAAAATGATTCTAGGACATCCTAAAGGCAAACTTCAAGGCATTCAGTGTCAACCATGACTCACTGGAAGTTGCAGCACAAGTCAGGTGTGGGTGGAGAGCCGCAGTTCACATTGGAGGGCGCCAAGAGCTGCGTGCGAAGCTAACACGTCGTCTGCAGCAAAACAAGGCATGCAGGCCAGGAAAGACAGCGCCAAGGACCAGGCAGCTGCCACCATCCCCTGACTTTACTGTCCAAAACAAGTCGTCTACACCTCCAATGTTCAGGTCAACCCCCTCCCATACAAAGAAAAGACAGTGGTCATCGTCCCAACGATAGACGAACAACACCCTGTATACATTATAAACATTACACAATCACAGAAGTTGGTGCTGCAGAAACTGGTGATTTTTTGTCTAAATGAAGAATAACATATTAGATGGTATTCGTGGGATTCGAGCCCTAGAAATAAAAATCCAAAAAAGAATGATTCTGCTTTGAGACTAACGCACTAACCAATATGGTACATGTCTTACGCTGATTGTTGGCATTTAAATCATGCTTGTGATATGACCCTTGACTTAACTCTTTAAAACTTATTGAAATGTATGCAACATACACTTAAATATTCACGTCATAGAAATAGAAATTTAACATTTACCCGCAAGCACCTTAAAGCGTGGTACACGTTTCTCTAAAGTTTAGCCTAAATAATATGACGTTATATTTTAATAAAGAAACTTTTCTTATTTTTTGAAATTTTCGCAAGAATGAAGTAGAATGAAATTGGCACTTAATTAAAGATTAAATGAACTTTTTAAAGTGCGTGTAAATGCGTGATTGCGGGAAAACAGTATATGCGTGATTTTGCTTTAGAAAAAGGAAATGATGTATGCGTGACTGCGGGGAAGGGGGTTAAAGGACTTGAACTATTTCTTGGAAAAATGCGAATATATTGCCATAAAAGTGTACTTTTAAGGTACTATTTGGTCTTTGCTCCATGTCTTTGTAAAAAAATGCATATTTTATTGCAAACTTTTAGGATTATCTTTAAAAAAATGGAACGATTGATTGATTGATTGTATATTGTTTAACGTCCCTCTTGAGATTTTTTCACTCATATGGAGACGTCACCATATGACGGTGAAGGGCTTCAAATTTAGACCTATACTCGGCACTCAGGGCCATTCAGCAGTAAGGGTTCTTTATCGTGCCAGCACCTACCGTGACAAGGGACCTACGTTTTTGAGGTCATATCCGAAAGACCCGTGACATTCACTTCTAGTGCCGAGCGCTTGGCGAAGGAACAGTCACTACCTTTGTTTACGTCTTAGGTATGACGCGGCGCCACGAATGAGAATCGAACCCGGACCTCCCGATCACGAAGAGAACGCTCTACCACTAGGCTACCGTGACCGGTAAAAATGGAACGAAGACCCACTTATATGAAAAATAAATTGTTAATTATGAGAAACTGATAGTTTTTTCAGTGTGTGTGTACTTTTCCATAGGCATACATTTTCAGTCTTTGTGTGATTTTTGTAAACTGTAGAGATTTTGCATTTAAGCATTAGATGAAATATCAAATAATATTAGGATATAATTGAGATTTAATTTTTCACTTCTTATCTGTCGATTTATAGGCACTTCACCCGCCTTATTCTCCAATCTTTTTCGGAAATGGTAAATTTGATAAACCAACATGCCAATATTGTCTCTTTATGTGAAAATTTAATCTGTTTAAAGGACACCTTTTCCCATAACAATGTGAATTCCCTTATAAGAAAATAGAAATAAAGTAATATTTCGTCCTTGCGTTACACTTCATTTTAAGGCCAATTGGAAGTCGATATGTAGTTTCCAAATATTTTTTTGTATATTGTGCTTTATATACTTTTGGTCTTATGAAAATGAAAACAAATGTATCCTTTAGTGTTACTTGAATGTATTTCTTTAAAATTGATACAATGTGAGGAAAAAAACTGCTATAAACTATTTGTTTATTGTTTAGAATGTGTACATAAATTTGACCTGTTTTTTTTTAGTTTTAGATTTTAATATTTTTTCATTTGATTTTTTCATGTTGCTAGATATATCTGTACATAACTCAAATGTTTCGGAGGTCCGTGTTTGTTATTTTGTATTGTTGTATAGACTTTGATGTTGAATACTGTTCGTTATCTCCATATCCTTCATACACAAGCGATATTTGTAAATTTAATTTAGAATTCTAAAGCATATGCTTTTGCTTCATTTTTAGGTCACCTGAGTAAACTCAGGTGACCTATTGCTATCCGTTTTCGTCCGTCGTCGTGCGTCGTGCGTCGTCTGTTAACATTTGAACATTTTCAGCTTCTTCTCTGCAACCACTGAACCAATTTCAACCAAATTTGACACAAAGTATCTATGGGTAAAGGGGAACAAAAATTGTGAATTTCATGATCCCTGCCCCCCTGGGGCCTGAGGGAAGGGACCAAAACTACTAAAATTAATGCAATCTTTAAAAGTCTTCTTCTTTACTCCCAAACATCAAGCAGACAAACTGTTTGCATGATTGTAATAAGCAATGAGTCCTCTACCAAAATTGTGAAATTCATGGCCCTGGGGTCAGGGGTTCTAGTGCTAGGGCGGGGCTAAATAATAAGGGAGTGAAAATGAATTATTTCTTTGAAACTCTTCTTCTCTGCTCATAGGTATTAAATAAACCTAATAAATACATAGTTATAATGAGCAAGAGTGCCTCTACCAAAATTGTGAATTTTATGGCCCCAGGGTCAGGGGTTCTGGTGTTAGGATGGGACTCTATTGATTATATAGTGAAAATACATGAATTCTTTGAAAATCTTCTTCTCTGTTCCTGGGTATTAAATAAACTATCTAAGTACATAGTTATGATGAGCAGGAGTGCCTCTATTAAAATTGTGAATTTTATGGACCCAGGGTCAGGGGTTCAGGTGTAAGGGTGGGGCTCTATTTATTGTATAGTGAAAATACATGAATTCTTTGAAAATCTTCTTCTCTGCTCCTGTGTATTAAATAAACTAACTAAGTGCATAGTTATGATGAGCAAGAGTGCCTCCATCAAAATTGTGAATTTTATGGCCCCAGGGTCAAGGGTTCTGGTGTTGGGGGGGGGGGGCTCATTGATTATATAGTGAAATTACATGAATTCTTTGAAAATTTTCTTCACTGCTCTTAGGTATAAAAATAAACTAACTAAGTGCATAGTTATGATGAGCAAGAGTGCCTCTACAAAATTGTGAATTTTATGGCCCCAGGGTCAGAGGTTCTGGTGTAAGGGTGGGGCTCTATAGATTATAATAGTGAAATTACATGAATTTTTTGAAAATCTTCTTCTCTGCTCCAGTGTATTAAATAAACTAACTAAGTGCATAGTTATGATGAGCAAGAGTGCTTCTATCAAAATTGTGAATTTTATGGCCCCAGCATCAATGGTTCTGGTGTTGGGGGGGGGGGGGACTTTATTGTTTATAAAGTGAAAATACATGCATTCTTCTTCTTCATCCTAGGTATCAAATAAACTAACTAAGTACATAGTCATTGATTATATAGTGAAATTACATGAATTCTTTGAAAATCTTCTTCTCTGCTCGTAGATATTAAATAAACTAACTAAGTGCATAGTTATGATGAGCAAGAGTGTCTCTACAAAAATTGTGAATTTTATGGCCCCAGGGTCAGAGGTTCTGGTGTTAGGATGGGGCTCTATTGATTATATAGTAAAAATACATTTTTTTTTTGAAAATCTTCTTCTCTGCCCCTGGGTATTAAATAAACCAAGTGAGTAAAAAGTTATGATGAGCAAGAGTGCTTCTACCAAAATTGTGAATTTTATTGCCCCAGAGTCAAGGGTTCTGGTGTTGGGGGGGGGGGCTCTATCGATTGTATAGTGAAATTACATGAATTCTTTAAAAATCTTCTCTGCTCCTAGGTATTAAATAAACAAGTTTACTAAGTGCATAGTTATGATGAGCAAGAGTGCTTCTATCAAAATTGTGAATTTTATGGCACCAGCATCAATGGTTCTGGTGTTGGGGGGACTTTATTGTTTTTAAAGTGAAAATACATGCATTCTTCTTTTTCATCCTAGGTATCAAATAAACTAACTAAGTACATAGTGATGATAAGCAGGTGTTCCTCAATTAAGATTGTGAATTTTATGGCCCCAGGGTCAAGGGTTCTGGTGGGGGGGGGGGGGCTATATTGATTATATAGTAAAAATATGTGAATTCCTTGAAAATCTTCTTCACTGCTTCTAGGTATTATATAAACTAACTAAGTGCATAGTTATGATGAGCAAGTGTGCTTCAACCAAGTTTAATGGCCCTATCATCAAGGGTTCTGGTGTTGGGGGGGGCTCTATTGATTATATAGTGAAATTACATGAATTCTTTGAAAATCTTCTTCTCTGCTCTTAGGTATTAAATAAACCAACTAAGTGCATAGTTATGATGAGCAAGAGTGCCTCTACAAAAATTGTGAATTTTATGGCCCCAGGGTCAGGGGTTGTGGTGTTAGGGTGGGGCTCTATTGATTATATAGTGAAAATAGTTATACATTAAATCTTTGAAAATTTTCCTCTCTGTCTCTGGGTATGAAGCAGATAAACTACCTATATAGTTATAATGAGCAAGGGCCCTATTCTTACAGAATTGTGAATTTCAAGGCCCCAGGGTCAGGGGTTGGGGGGGGCTCTGATTATATACTGGAAATGAATTAATTGTTTGAAATCTGGTCCTTTGTATTTATAAAACATTTATTTACTTTTTGATAGGCAATTTTAAGGGTGCCTTTTAAAAATTTGTGCAATCTAGGGTCAGGGGTTTTGTGTCAGAGTGTTAGGGGAACTACTGATTATTGATGAATATTACTGATTAGTTGGAGTGCATTTTTGTTCCCCTACCCTGCATATGGGTATTCAGTAACCAAGCTAAGCGACTGCTAAGTTTATTGTCATGATGATCAATGGTGCTCTTTCAAAATTGTGAATGCCATATAGCATCTGGCTTAAAACATGTTATTGAATCAAACTGGAAAGTTGTTGCTTAATGCTCAGGTGACCTATAAGGCCCGTGGGCCTCTTGTTTGTGCACAATTATCACAATTTTGTTTCTT